GTTTCCAGAAATTAGCTAGAGGAAACTACACGTGTGAGTGTTTGTATGTGTATATGTGCATAGTGCTATAAGTTTTCCAAAAATTGAAAAGAAGAAACTGAACAAAGGTGCTGAAAAAGAAGGGAAGGGTATATATGTCCACCCTACAGCGATGTAGAAAACCTAACCCTAAACATAAACATTTTCCGAGCAGGTGCTGCTGGACTTAAAGTGCTTACATATTTATCATGGCCAAACCTCTGCACATTTTATTACAACATACTGAATAATTCACAATTGGGAAAATGTATTTTGGGGGCATTTTAGTATCCCATATTCCCTGATTAGGAGAGTAAAATGAATCTTTAAAAAAGCCTCTCTGGATAGGAGCTAAAACTTTTCTAAAGAAGGTAAATGATCTTACAGTTAATCTTTGAGTATCATGGTTCTCTGGCAGTGGGAGAGTGAGGTAGATTTCAAGACAGAGAAGCAATGCTCATGGTGGTGGCAGGGGTGAATGTAAGCAGGTGTCTAATCAAATGCTTAAGTGTCCTCCCTCCTCAGTCTTTTCAGTTATTTTAGTCTTATAATAAATTACATAAACTGCATGCGTTTTGGGTAAGTGGGTGAGACTGAGGTAAAGGTGAAGAGAAGCTGACCATACGGAGCAGGCAGCCAGAGGAGCCAGCAGAGCAGGAGGAAGTACTGAGATGATTCCCTTCCCCAGATGTATTACCGGGAAAGTGATACTGGGGAAATGGAAATGCTAATATTGGGGTTAATATATATTAGGGAGTTTATTTCAAAACACTTTTCTTGACTTTTTTTTCTATAAGAAAAAAACTCACCAGAACCACCTTCAGTCTTAGCTATACTTATCCACTCTTTCATTTAATCCTCAATAAGAGTGAAGTATATTTTTCTACCTTTATTACTTTTTGGGGGGGATGGAGTCTAGCTCTGTCACCAGGCCAGAGTACAATGGCACCATCTTGGCTTACTGCAACCTCCACCTGCCAGGCTCAAGCAATACTTCTGCCTCAGCCTCCCGAGTAGCTGGGACTACAGGCATGCACGTCACCATGCCCGGGTAATTTTTCTATTTTTAGTAGAGACGGGGTTTCACCGTGTTCACCAGGATGGTCTTGATCTCTGGACCTCATGATCTGCATGCCTCTGCCTCCCAAAGTATACCTTTTTTGAAGTTTAAAAAATAAAAAATGAAAACTGCTTTTGAGTAAAGGTTTTTTTTTTTTTTTTTTTAGTATTATATATTGATTCCAGGACCTAGGTTTTGAAAGAGAAGAGAGAGATTGAGGGACTTGTAGACAGCAGATGCCATATCTGAAGACACTTTTCATTGTATTGCCAGTGCCTGCTGTGATACCAGGAAAGTGTATCTGTGAGTCAATACATACATGACTTGCCCAAAGTCATATTGGTAGTGAGAAATGGAGAATTCCTTCTCTACTGATTCTGGTGAAGATGTAGTTTTTGTTTCTATATAATTGATCTAACCTTTCTCATGTTCCTCCGAGTCCTGACTGGGGTGGGCTTGGGGCAGAGGGAGGAGGAGTAGTGGTGAGAAGCACTAACTTCCTCAATGTATTTCAATCTCCTTTGGTTAAACAGTGTCATTCAGAAAACCCAGTCTCCCTTCAGATTATTACTCAGCCTCTTACATTTCCTCTTTCCATTGCTCTGCCAAAGATGACCTGAGGGTGCATAACAGGACTCACTTGACCTCCTGGGAGTGAGGAGAATGTCCTTGCTCCAGCACATGGGCCCCCATGCTATCTTCCAGGCCTACTAGTCTCTAATATGTTGTCCCTTGTCTGCCCCGTCAGGGTATGCTGTCATCCTGCTGTGCACATCCATGTGGAAGAGGGGCCAGGACTGCTTGACATTATATTACATTATATTTGCTCTCCCCCCATGCTCTGGATTTAATAGACTGTAGTGGCTATAGAGACTAACACAACGTATATCTCCGAAGAACCAATATAATCAGCAATGTGGCTTCTACTACACAAACTAACAACTTACATCAGCCAAAATGTATGAAGGCCAAGATTTTTAATAGCCACTTGGCACTGTCCCACTCTCTGTCATCCACAATTCACAGGCCTAATTGGGCTCTGGAATGGACAGTGACTATGAGCCTAGTGACTCATAACTAGAACTATAGACAGTGACTATAACTAGAACACTCAGACCCTTACTAGTTTCCACCCCTTCCAGGATTTTGGCCTAGAGACACCCATGAGGACATGAGGCCCCTTTCTTTGCCTCATCTCTCTTTTACACATTCAGTGATCAGCAGGGTCAGATTTTCTACCTGTTTCTTCCAGTCTATTCAGAAATGTTCTTGTTCCTCAGGGCGGGAGGCCTCACGTTCTCTCCTTCAGGTGTACAATTTGAATGCTTCAGACTAATTCACATGAAACCAAGGGGTACACAGATACTAGGGATGCACTCCCATTAAATGCAATAGTTGAATAGTTTTCAAAATATTATCCTCATGACAAAATAGTCATGCTTTTCTTCTTCATAGAGGAAGACAAACACTATGTTTTTCCCATTTAAATCCCATCTGTTAAAAAAAATCCTTAAGAAAAAACATTTTCAAATACTTTGAATCAGACTCAAGCTCAAATCAGATACACTTGCAGTTATAAGGGGCTGAGCTTTGTCTTCGTTTTAGGCTGTTGCTAGATAACACAAACAAAAAATGCTAATGATTTGACTTTATGGAAGGTCCCAGGAATACTCAGCGGGCTTTAGTGCGATGCCTGTCTAGCTCTTCTCAAAGCTGACATTATTTTGTGAATCCGCACTTCAGCTGTAAACTAATTCCTTTATTTATTTATTTCATGTTAGCAAGTGGTTCCATGCATGGTAACCATTCAAATGGATGGATAATCTTTCCAGATGGTGACAGCATCCCCAGAGACACCACCACAGGAAGGTATTGATGGGAACGATTAGAGATTGCTCAGGCCAGCTTCAGAGAGGTCTATCAGCTGCTAACAGCAGTAAACCATTAGTTTTAAGTATTACTGGTTGATTTTAAATCTGAGATCCTTTCCATATGATGTAAAGTCCTGCAAATGGAGACTGCCTTATTCCATTAATTCTAACCTGCCAAAAAGGAATATATGCAAAGAGCTAAAAATCAGAGACGTGTAGGTACTATAAAGGGCTTCTATATCTAATTTCAGTTTAAACTACTGATTTAATGACTAACTTCCAAAATATTGACAGACCAATGTACTCATGACCCCAATATTGAGGCACACGTGTTAAATCTTCAAAGTTAAAAAAAGATGACAGTCCCTCCAAATTAGAGTCAACTCAAAATGATGGTTATTTTAAATTAAATGTTAATCACTGCTGCTGCTCTAGGCCAATGGTTTCCACCTTGGCTATATATGGGAATCATCTGGGAGGCTTTAAAAAATATAGATGCCTGGTTCTACTCCAAGAGATTCTAATTGTTGTAGGGTGTGGCTTAAGCAGCGGGAGTTGTAAAAGTTCTCCAGGTGCTTCTCATTTACAGCCATGGTTGAGAATTGCTGCTCTCAGCAGCAACAGGGCAAGGAGTTAAATAGTTGGGTGTAGGACATGAGAAAAAAGATGCTTGTCAAATTTCTGTGCCTGTTGCAGAAAAGATACAGCCTCAATCCTAAGGTAACCCACCCACCGGTTTGCCCTGTACCATCCTGGTTCTCACCCTCAAAATCTCATATCCTGGGCAGAATGGGCTGGCTGGCCTCTCTAGTCATAAGATCTGCAAAGGAGAGAGGAGGGAGACAACTTTGGTCTGGAAGTGAAGGAGACTGAACTGGTGGAAACAGAAAGCATGGTCCATTGACAGGAGGGATCCAAAGCTAACTTGGTCTGGATGGGCCAATATCAATGTCAAAGGTGTCAAAGCCAAAGGGAAGGGCTAGGCAGCAAGGCAAGTTGACACACCGGCTCTTATCAGTACATCTTAGCCTTGGATCCACCCTATAGAGTGGATGTCAGAGTGGAATCAGGTCCATTATATATAAATGTCAGTTATATATTAGGTCCTTAAGAAACATTTGGCTGGAAGAATGAGCACTTTGGGAGGCCGAGGTTGGGAGATCACTTCAGCCCAGGAATTCAAGATCAGCCTGGCCAACATGGTGAAACCCTGTCTCTACTAAAAATACAAAAATTAGCTGGGCATGGTGGCAGGTGCTTCTAATCCCAGCTACTCCAGAAGCTGAGGTTCAGGAATGGCTTGAACCCAGCAGGCAGAGGTTGCAGCGAGCCCAGATTGCGTCACTGCACTCTAGACTGGGAGACAGGGTGAGACTCTGTCTAAAAAAAACAAACACAGCAAACATGTTTTCCAACTTCAACTAATTTCGTTCCTCCCGTTACATGGTTTACGGTGGCACATTTTCTAAACTGCAGTAGTGTCATTTACAACTCCATAGAGGAGTCAACTTCATCTCCCCAGCAAATTTTCTTTGCTTTAGGAAAAGTGGCAGAACAGATTTTTTCATCTTATAAAATCCATAGCCAGTAACCACCCTTTGTGCTGGGGCCACCATGTGCTGGCCAGTTGGCTTCCTGCACCCCAATCTCCGTACCTGTTAATATAGGGAGGTTGTAGGATGTAGGGAAAGGCAGGGCAAATTTAAGTAGCAATGCTATTACCTTTTGATAGATTGAGTTCAATGCCCAAAACGCTTCTTTGTTCTAAAGACACTTGCTGTTGGATTTAAGGCCCACGTGGATAACCAAGGACAATAAAAAATTGTCCTAAATGAATTACCTCAGCAAAGGCCCTTGCAGACCCTTTATTTTCCAAATAAAGTGACCTTTACAGGTTCCACAAAAGAAAACTTGGACATATTTCTTGTGGGCATCATTCAGTCCATGACAGGAATAAAAGCCAAGTTTTTAAATGTAGAAAAAGCTGTATCACCAAGCAAAATTGTAGATGCTTGGATAGCCCAGCTTCTGCAATAAAGTGAGAGGCACCAGTTGCTGTACCCAGCCTCCGTTATTAAGCTCAGTAGGGAAGGAAACAGGTTCAAGAGGTAGAAGAGACCCAGGTCCAGGAAATGAAATATGGGGTTTTTCTAGGGGCTTCCATACAGGGGAGAGGGTCCAGAGTGACAGGCTGGACTGGAGAACCACCTTACCTCCAGAAATGGCGCAGCGGCAGTTGGCTGGACAAGTCCAGGGACATGGGCTGAGCAAGATAAACGCACAGCCCAGCAGCATCGGGCTGGGCAGGAAAACGCTAACTGCTTGCAAGCAGTCTGCAGCTTTTACAGCATTTTCACGGGACGTCCTCCCCTTAACAACCTCCACGTGGCAACATTCATTGAATCCAAAACTCAGGGCCTTAATCACTTGCATGGCCTGTGTTCCACAGGTTGGGCCAGGGGCTCATTGTTCCTCGTAGACAAGAAGTAAATCTCTGGGTTGCAGGAGGTAGAGGTTGCGGTGAGCCGAGATCGTGCCATTGCACTCCAGCCTGGGTAACAAGAGCGAAACTCTGTCTCAAAAAAAAAAAATCTCTGGGTTGGCCTAGATCCCAGATCCCCTAGCTCAGAACTCCATTCAGGTGTGTCTGCCATGGGGTCATTCTAAGGTTATGCTGGAGTCATTGCCATCAGGTGTGTTTACCCTGCACCAGCATGAATGACAAGGACACTGTGCACTGTGACTCCCCTGAGAGTCTTCAAGGATCATGTTGGGTGAGTGTAGGAGGGTGGGGGAAGCACGAGACATATGTCAATCAAGGTTTCAGCAGGAAACAGTGCATTCAAAAGCATGACTAGAGAGAGTCCAGTGAGGAGCCTTTTTGCAAGCTGTAGGCAGGAATGAGGTGCTAGTACAGGGTTTGACTGTAGACTGTCAATGAATGAGCCACAGCTTTACACTTCCCACAGTTTTCACCCTCCCTTTTTCTTATTCCCACTGTAGCCTACAGAGGCTTCTAGCATAACATCAATGATATTTAGTAACTCCTAGTTCAAATGACTGACACCATTTTTAAGGGTGAAGACTAGTTCTAATTATGTATATGGGGCATATATTTGTCTTTTAGACACTGGTAAATGCCAGTCATATATTAGATCCTCAAGAAACATTTGGTTACGAGAATGATTGTGTGGCCCACATTTTTCCAGTCTTTACCATCTGTAATAAGGCTCCCCACTTCCACATACCCCAAATGCAAGTCTCCTGGACTTTGTGTCCTTCCTATCACGGTGATGCTATCCCAGAATCAGGTTAGAATTTGGTATCTTGTCGCCACAAAATAGTCTGTTTTGGCAGTTATATGATCTCTATTGTAATGTTAATGCTGGTCAGTTTTTCCTAAATGAGGGGGTAGAATGAGGTGTGTCTGACATCTTTTCACATCATGGTCAGGAATACAGTCTTATCTCATTGGCAGATGATCTCACCTGGTGGGAGAGAAAAACAAATTAGGCAAGAGCAGAACAAGCTGTGTCAAGGTGACCTAACTTGAGATGCCTGGACAGTCAGGCACCCCAGGGCCATCAACAGAAGAAAGCTGTTACTAAACTAGGGTTATAGGTCCAAGGGGAAGGAGCTGCCATCCCTAAGGCTAAACAGAATCAGATGCGCATAATTAGAGGAACAGAAGAGGAGTGGTCAGGAAAGGCCTAAGGGAATTAAGGACCTTCACACATACACACCTCTCTGTCTCTCTTTTCCTTCTCCCCCTCCTCTCTCTCCTCACTCCTTTCTCTCCTCTATCTCTTCTTCTCTCTCTTCTTTCTTTCCCTTCTCTTTCTTTCTCACCCCTCTCCTCTTTCTCACCCATCTTCTGTCTCTTCCCTCCTCTCTGCATTCTCTTAGCCTGCTTTTCTCTCCCCTTTCTTCTCTCTCTCTCCTTTTCTTTCTTCTATCTTTCTCTTTCCTCTGTTTCTTATCCTCTCTCTCCTCTTTCTCTTCCCCTCTCCCTCTTCTCTCTGTCTCTCCCCACTCACCCTATCTCTCACTCCTCTTGTCCTCAAATACTCCATAGGCACTTCCTTCTGGCTGCTGTTAGCTAAAATCTAGAGAGGAGAGAGCAAGTAGCCCTCCTTGGGCACAGAACAGGGCAGAGAACAGATCCTGAGGGCACATGGAGAACAACAAACCTGAGGGCAAGGTATGATTCTAGGAAATCTTTCTAAGTAGACTGCTCCAGATTGCTTTGGTTTGAATACTGAAGGTTACATGACATATCTGCAGTCACAGTTGGTGAGATCTGGAGACTGAAGTTAAATTCTTTTAATGGATTCCCATCCAGACTCCAGGATCCAGGAGGTAAGAGCTCACACCTGCCTTGCTCACTGCAACACTCCATTCCTGGGCACAGTTTCAAAATATAGTCAGCACTGAAAACAACATTGATTGAATGAGTCAAGTCCATCCTTGCAGATTTGTGCTTTGGGAAAAGATGAGGCCCTTTGTGCCTGACTCCTTCTGTTGAGAAGAGTTTGCTCACCCTCTAACGTGAATTTACCTTGGGCTGTTCATACTCTTTAGGCCTCCTGACATATGAAAACAAGCCTTTAGCCTAGGCTGAAGCAGAGATACACAAAAACAATAAATCATTTCATGGGCCACATTTTTGGGTAGAGTTCAGGATTAGGGCTACTAGTTTACTGAGCTGATGTTCAGGCCTTGGTTTCAAGGTGGGAGCAGGGATTCAGGAGCCTGTATGTGAAAGGCTGATCAAGTGGAGACAGAAAGGAATGAGAAGTCTTTGCTCACACAGATGCTCCTATTCACTTAACATAACTTTTTTGGCATCAGTCTTGCATCAGACACCATGTCAAATGCCTGAGACGTGAAACATTCTTTTCCTTTAATTGCTTACATTGTTGTTAGGGAGGCAGGGAAAAGTTTATGAATACATTTTTGCAATGAGCTCTTTTTTAGAGGCCAAAGGTGCTGTAGACAGAAGGGAATGCTAACCACTGCCTGGATTGAGTTGTGAAGTGTGAAAGGCCAGAAAAGCTTAGCAAATGTAGTGATCCCTGAGGTCTGCCTCAGAGCATGGGTGCAAGTTTTCCAAGACAGGGATGGGGAATTCAGTTGGTCGGAGAAAGTAGCACATGGAAGCGCACAGTGGTGACAAAGAGGATGTTGCTTTTAGAAAACTAGATGTCTTAGTTTGACTACTGTAGACTGGGTGGCTCAAACACAAACATTTATTTTTCACAGTTCTAGAGACTGGAAATCTGAGATCAGGATACTGGTATGGTCAGGTTCTGGTGAGTCCCCTCTTCCTAGTTTACAGATGGCCATCATTTTGCTGTGTCCTCCCATGGTAAAGAGTGTCTCTTCTTATAAGGGCACTAATCCCATTCATGAGAGATTCGTTTTCATGACTAATACCCTCCCAAAGGTCATACCTCCAAATACCATTACATTGGGGATTAGAGTTTCAACATATGAACTTGGGGGGACATAAACATTTAGTTCACAGGGCTATAAGAAGTTCCCTGTGGGCCAAAATGGCTAATCAAGGTTCTTGAATGCCACACACAGGAGCCTGGACTTTGTTGCACACCTAGAATTTGGCTAAAGCAAGGAGAAGCTGAGGCCATGATATTCTGCAGGCTCCACATGCTCAGGTTGGAAGTCCCTACAGGCCTCGGCTAATGCCAGCTTCATCTCCATGTGCTACACAATAATAGCCTAGGGTTACTCATAGTGGGCATATAGCCCACGAGTCCAGTCTCTTGTGGGAACATTAGCCATAGCCAGAGCCCATTTTTCTAGATCCCCATTCTTCAGCAAATGGGGAACCAAAATCACCTATACAGTTGGCAAGGTGATAAGAATCTCTCCCACTATTTAGCTGTTTACATTCACTCCATTCAGATGCGTGCTCTAGGAGAGCTATAGGCTAATAAGGAGGATACCAGACTAAGCCTCTAGGGAAAATCTCCTTTCTCATTTCAAACACATGCAAGAAATGAATTTAAAAAGAAATTTAAGTGTATAGAGATGTTTAAGTTTCTGCCTCCCACCAAGAAGGCAACCCCCAAAAGCAAAATAAGGACGGGTAACTCAAAGCCAGTGGTGTATGGGACTTGAAGCCACTAGGCAGGCTCATGGGAGAACCAGGGAATGGCCCAGGCTCCAACTGGGGGAGGCGGGGGCTGGGCTCCCACTGCGGCCCACAGAAGGGACTCCCTAGATTTCCAGTCTCCAGAACAGAAATTGTCATTGGCAGATGAAACTACTGTCTTCCGGTGAAGGGTGGGAAAAGAAAGTTGGCCTGGCCACTTTCATAAGTAGGTGTGAGTTGTGAATCCAGGCTTCTAATGTGATATAGTGACCCCAAGCCAAAAAAAAAAATTAAAACGAAAGCTCCTGATGTAATGAAACTCATAGGTCCTCTGGCTCAGGCAAATTCAAAACTGGCTGCTAGGGATTCTGATACAACTCCCATTCAGTAGGCTAATATGACAGGCAAGATTTGAAGATCAATAACTATCAACTTAGAATCACAAAGCCTGCAACAAAATGGGGAAAACAATGACATCTTTAGACAGTAAGATACAATCTCTGAAAGAAGAAAATTTAACATGGAAGACAGGCATGCAAAAAAAAAAAAAAAAAAAGAGCAAACAAATCGTTGTTAACTCTAAACTAGCATTGATTGACTGTAAAAACTAAAATGACTGTTGAGAGAGGTAAACTGGTGGGGCTAAAATAATGATGAACAATAACATGGAAAATGGGTAAGATCTGAATCTTATGTGTTGCCTCAAGAGAGATAGTTGATGCAAAATAATAGTTGAAAATGTAGTCGTAGGAAAGTATAATACAAACACTAATACAAATCTGATACAGCAATACTATTAGAGAAAATCTATTCAAGATAAAGAGCATTAAGAGATATAAATAGGAATACTCTATAAAAGTGATGCTTATCCCCAGAGATACATAGAAAATGTGAAATTGCATGCCTATAAATACAGAAATAGGCATTGAAATAGAAGTCTTACAGAATTAAAAGGTGAAATTGACAGATCTGCAATCCCAAAAGAACATTTCAATTCACACCTCTCAGAAGCTGACAGATGAAATACACAAAAAATTAGTAGGACAGTAAAAAATTTGAACAACACTTTTACCAACTGTGTTCTGTATGTCTGTGTGTGTGTGTTTGTGAACATGTATATAATTGTACATGAACACCTATGTATGAATATGTAATATGTTATACATATATATCACACATATATTAATATACAAATATATTTTCCCAAAATATACATATCTATACAAAACCATTACACATACACAATTTATATACATACATATACATCTTAACCAACAGATATAAACCATTCTATTCAAGTCCATATATAACTTTTAAAATAAATATTGACCACATATTAGGCCATAAAAAATTTTGATACACTGAAAGTATTAATGTCATATACATTATATGCTCGGACCACAATTCTGTTAATAATGAACAATAAAGTCATAGTTAAAATACTTTACAAAGACATTCAGAATAAACACACATTCATACACATGCAGATCCCAAGGGAAATACTCTTAAAATATATAAGAAAATATGAAAGTCTAAATGGTTTTAAAATAAAAAATAATTTTTTGAGACAGAAAGAACCCAAGACACAAATGCAAAGGTAAAGAAGTTAAACAAATCAATCGAAACACATATCTATCAAAATAAAAACAAAGGAAAGAGAAAGAAAGAAAGAAATACATTATAATCAAATTTAGAAGACCAGGCTGGGAGAATGTATTTACGACACATGTAGCAGATTCAAAATTTGTATCTACACTATAGAAATAACTTTTATACATCCATAAGTAAAGGAGAAAGAGACTGGGCATGGTGGCTCACGCCTGTAATCCCAGCACTTTGGGAAGCTGACGTGTGGATCACCTGAGGTCAGGAGTTCGAGACCAGCCTGGCCAACATGGTGAAACCCCATCTCTACTAAAAAGACAAAAATTAGCCAGATGTGGTGGTACATATTTGTAATCCCAGAAACTTGGGAGGCTAAGGCAGGAGAATAGATTGAACTCGGGAGGTGGAAGTTGCAGTGAGCCGAGATCGTACCACTGCACTCCAGGCTGGGTGACAGAGTGAGACTGTCTTAAAAAAATTAAAATTAAAATTAAAAGAAGAAAAGAAGAAATAAAGTGATACTATAATTTGTTCATTGGAATAAATGTGTATATTAAAAGATTTTTTAAAAACATCAAGATGCTTTTGGGAAGGAAAATAGAGAAATGGGTCCTGGGAGGAATAAACGTCAACTTTATACTTAATCTCATATTTTTTTAATAGAAAGCACTTTAAATAAAAATTGGTAAAATGTTAATATTTGTTAATTTTGCTACACAAGTAAATTTTAAATTTTGTACTTTTTTGTGTTTTATTAAGTAATTCAGAATTTTAAGATTGTCAAGGAAACTGTAAATGCACTAAGTGGTTAATATTTGTCTATGTGTGTGTGTATTCCTTTATTGCTAGATTGCGTGCCAGTATTTTTTCCAAAGCAAGATTGACACATGATCCTTCAAACAAATAAACATTTTCATTGTAATTGAGTAAATTAGTCCTAATAAGTTAACATGTTAATGTGTGCTTTCTGTACATAATTCTTTACTTACAGGCCATAAATTACTGTTATATTTTCAACCATGTGCAATGCACAATCATAAGAAAATTGGGAGGTAGAATTTCATAATGGGCATTTAAGAAAAAGGGCAAATATAATTACCTAGAGCATAAATCATCAAGATAAAGTAACTAATACCCCACTTTTTTCAAAAGAAAAAATTACCAGTGTGACAGGATTGCAAAATAAGTTCATTCCTTAAGTAAAGTTGTAAAGAAGGGAAAGTGTGCATTGGCTTTAGAGCAAGTAAGGCAGACTGAGTAGTAAGTAACAGACCACACAACTCATATTGGCTTGAAATAGTGATGGCAAGCATTATTTACCTCACAGAGGGGCAGACAATGCAGCAGCTGATCAGAGCTTTCCTGATACCATCACACTTTTTTGAGGCTTCTGCTCTGCCAACCTGGGAGTTATCCTTACTGTCAAGCTGGTAGACTCCAGTTTGTTAGGTCAGGATTGGATTTGATTCCCATTCCTGAACCAGTCACACACAGCGGGAGAAACTGCTCTGATTGGTTTAGACATAGAGACTGGAATGGATGCTGGTGAGGCTCATATTTCCACCATGCTCTTCCTGGGGTTGTTTTTCCCCCTATCTTTCCTTGTATCTATACCCTTTCATTTACTTAAGGCCTGGTTTTTCTTCTTGCTATTAAAATTGAGGAAA